CACCCCTCACGCGCTCCGGGGCCCCATCGTTAGCTTCACATAAGGTTCCAGTGGCAGGGTCCGCATGTGGGCGCCACCACCGTCCCGGCACACCCCTCACGCGCTCCGGGGCCCCACCAGGAGCTTCACATGAGGCCCTAGAGGCAGGGTCCGCATGCGGGCGTCAACCCCGTTTCGGCACACCCCCATACATGTCGTGGCCCGACCAGAGGCTCCACCTGAGACCCCAGTGGCCTGAGACCCCAGTGGCAGGGCCCTGATGTGAGCGCCACCCCCGCTTTGGCACACCCAGCCCAGCAGTTCTGGCCCAAGCGATGTTTGCAGTATTTCTCGCCGGTGTCAGAAATCATGGACAAAGCAAAATCGATTGCCGATGTTCGGGGGACCGTACAATGAAGGGAATGCATTTGACTGCAATGCGTTGCCAGTATAGTGACCAGGTTGCTGCGAATTCACTTTTCCCAATTGCGAACACCGATGGTGAATAATTTGAAATTGAGCGGGGTGCCGATACACGGATTCTGTTGATGGACAAGGAACGAGTTGCCTTGCGAATTATGCAACTTCCAGATGGCAGGAAAGGCGGTCAATCCTTAAATCACGCTGGGAATATCCAGAAGAAGTGCGGGATGTTGTTTGATTGATGTTTCCAGACCGTCCTGCGGTGTTGGGTCCTCGTTTTGAAGAGACATCACCCCGCGTCTCACTCCCGCCTCGGAGCAGCTCCACCTAAGGCCCCTGAGGCACCGTTCACACGCTTCGTGGCCCAATGTGAGCATAACCCAAAGGCCCCAGAGGCACCGTCCACGCGCGGGCGCCACGCCCATCCTGGCACACCGCTCACACGCTTCGTGGCCCCACAGGGAGCCTCACCTCAGGCCCAGAGGCATACTCCACACGTGGCGTGGGCGTCACGCCCGTTGAACTTTCTATTTATAAGATGTATATAGGTATACACACATACACAAAACGTTCACACCACATGTTTCGTGGCCCCGAAGGGAGCTCCACCGAAGGCCCCAGTTGAACCGTCCACACGTGAGCGCCACGCCCGTTTTCGGCACACCCTTCACACGGTTCGTGGCACCGAAGGAAGCTCCACCGAAAGCCCCAGAGGCACCGTCCACGCGCGGGCGCCAAGCCCATTCTGGCACACCGCTCACACGCTTCGTTGCCCCACAGGGAGCCCCACCTCAGGCCCAGAGGCATAGTCCACACGTGGGCGTCACGCCCGTTGAATTGTTTATTCATATTGTGTATAGAGGGATACACACAAACACACACACACACACAAACACACACACACATACACATACACGACCATTCGCAGCACATGTTTCGTGGCCCCGAATGGGAGCTCCACCGAAAGCCCCAATTGAACCGTCCACACGTGAGCGCCACGCCCGCTTTCGGCACACCCATCACACGGTTCGTGGCCCCGAAGGAAGCTCCACCGAAGGCCCCAGAGGCACCGCCCACACACTTGTTTCGGTACATCCTTCGCACGCTTCGTGGCCCCATATGGAGCTCCCCCCTCCTTCGCCCCACTTGCCTTGCGGTATTCACACACCTGCATCTGGTTTGGCCCTTAGCCAGGATGACGGATGATTCAAAAGGCTTGCACCAGCGACCCCCAGAAAAAGAGGCGTGCCATTTTCGATGTCGCATGCGTTGCAAGCCGATTCCCGTGGGGTTGCCTGCGTGCTCCGGGAGGCCGGTTCGGGGAGGAGGAGGAGGAGGAGGAGGAGGAGGAGGAGGTGGAGGAGGAGGAGGAGGGGGAGGGGGGGAGAGGCGCGCTGCTGATTTGAAATCCTTTGCCTCCTCGTCTGCTGCGGGGTTTCTTTGGGGGCCTCGTGAGGGCCTCGGGGGGTGGCCTCTTGGAAGCATGTGCGTTGCCCCCGGCGGCTTTGGGGATGCCTCTTCGGGGGTTCCCGGGGGCCTCTCGGGGGCACGTTGGGCGTTTTGGGGGCTTGTAGGGGGTGGCTCCCAGGCCGTTTGCAAGCTCCCCTCTTCGGGGCCTCCCTTGGGGCCTTCCTCATTGGCCGTCTTAGGGGCCTCTGGGGCAGTGTCGGAGCGTTATTGGGCCAGTTGCGGGTCTTCTTGGGGCGGCTGGCTGTTTCTGGTGATTGGTTGGGCGATCCCCGGCTGTTCCTACTGAGCCAAGGGGTTCATATGGTTCGGTACTTCCTGCATGCCCCTGCTCTTCCTGCTTGTTCCAGCTGGATTGTTGCCAAGGACTAGATTGGTAGAGCTGGCTGCTTCCCGCGGTCGGTCCAGAGAGTCCCCGCTGTCATTGTTGAACACAGAGGTTTAGTTGGTTCGTTCGTTCTTGCTTGCTCCTGCTACAACTGGCTGATCCGGCTGGACTTATAGCCTGGAATGTCATTGGTTCGGTTGTTCTTGCTTTGCTTGTTTGTCCTTGGTGGAGTTGCTGCCAGAGAACTGATTGGTTCGGCGGTTTTTTTTGTTGTTTTAATTGCACATGGCTTCCCGCGGTTTATTATGTCCAAGTGTCTCTCAGTTTCAAGTTTCTGATGGCATTGGCGGCTGCGGATTTGACAGATTCGATCATTCGATTGAGCGCATGTTCGTTGTGGGCGCCCAAAAATTTCTGGCAGCCGAACCCCCCCCATCAAGTCTGGACGGGGGCAGAAAGGCCCACACCCCTTTAAAGTAAGGAAGAGGGGGCGCGACCCCCCTTTCCACAGGCGATGCCCACATCGTCGTGGTCGTCGCTCTCTTCGGACTTTCCGTGCTCGCTTTCCTCCGCCTTGGCCCATCCACGAGCGAAGTTTACACGTGATGTCCTGCGCGCCCGCCCGTTTTCATCTCCCAGCCGCCCGTCATCGTCGTCGACGTTTTCGTCGCGGTTGTTGTTGCCGTTGTCGCTGCTTTTGTTTATGATTGTTTGTTCCTAACCTTGTGGCGTCAACGAGCAAGGCTGACATATCACGTCCCGCCCGCCCGGCCACTTCCATGTCCCGCCAGTCGTCACTAGAATCCCTTTTCATTGCGTGACCTTGCTCACTTCCTTTGACATTGTCTTATCAACGAGCGAGGCTTCCATGCAACGTCACGCCCGCCCACCCGCTTGAATGTCCCGCCCTCGTCGTCATGTGTTTTGGTTTCTCTGCTGCGTGTTTCCCCGAAACTTCGCCCCGTCGACGAGCGAAGCATGCAGTTGACGTCCCGCCCGCTCGTTTCAATTAGAGTCTCGACCGACCCGCCCGCTTCACCGTCCCGCCCGCCTGACCTGCCAGCCAGCTTTCATGTTCCGCCCACGTCGTCGCCGCCGCCGTCGTCGTCGTGTTCTCATCTGTCGATATCGTCGCCGTTTTCGTCGTCATCGTCGCTGTTTGCCAACGCACGCGCGGCTCGTGGTGCAGGGGGGGGAAGCGACCCCCACGCACTCACACAGCACTTTCGATGAGAGGGGTGTGGGCTCTCGCCATAAAGGGGGGGGGTCGTGTGGGTCCCAGCAGAGGGCAGGAGGAGTTCCAGCCCAACCAAGCGTGACAGACCTTCTCTCGGCCATTCCCTCCGGTTCTCCCTGCTCCAGCTGCACCCGACGGGCTGCGTGTTCTGCCCGGCCCTCTGCTGCAGCGCGCTGCTCCGCGCCGCAGAGAGACGGTCCGAGCAGGATGCCCTCCGAGGCGGCCGCCCGGCCGACCCCACGCGCCCTCCGCTGGGCCGCAAAACAGCGGCCGCAGCTCCGCCCGGTGCTCGCGCCCTCCATGTCCATCAGCGCCGGGCCCAGCGCGCTCCGCTCCACCCGCGCCGGGCCGCGCCCCCGCCGCCCGCCTGCGGACGCGCCCGCCCGGCCCGATCGGGTGCCGTCGGGCTTCGTGTCTGGGGTCGGGCCCCAGCCAGGGCTCGCTTCGATTCTTCCGCTTCGATTCGACTCGCTGTCGATTGCTTCCGATGTCGATCCGATTCGACTTGGGATTCCGATTGGGGCTCCGATTCCTTGCTGGAGGCATCCTAGCCTGCCGATTTCTGCCGATTCGACTTTTCCCGAAACGGCTGCCGATTTCCACCGATCCGCTTCATCTCGATCGCCGATCCGACTTATCGATTCGATTCTGGGCTCGCCTGCCCAACTGAGCGACGGACGGCAACGGGGCCGCCTGCACAGACATCCGCGCGTGAGCTTCCCGCGCAAGGTCGCGCGTGGTCGCCTGCGCCTCCAAGCGGTGCGCCACGCCGGCGGCGCGCAGAAGCCGCGGCGCAAGGTCGCTATGTCTTCGTGCGAAAGACCGGCTTCTTCTCGCCGCTCAGCTGGGCGCGTCCGCGATCGGCCGAAGTTCGATCGGCCGCGACCCCTGGCCGTGGCTCTGGCGCGCCATCCTGGGAGGCCCGATGAGCCCAGCGCTCAGAAGGCCCCGCTCGCCAGAGCCCGCCGGCCTGTGCCTGGCTTCTCTGTGGGGCTCCACGCCATTGCATCAGCCAGCGGCGGCCCGTCTCAAAAGCCAGCCACGTGGACTTCACCGGGTCCCCAGACCTCCAACGCACTGAGACTATCAAGGCGGAGGTTTTTGCTCACCGTTCTCCGCGTTCGGGGGCCCTCGCTGGGCCACAGGACCGTCAAAAAATAGTCCGGGGCGAGAACCCGGTCCCCAGGGAGTGGTCCCGCGCTCTCCTCCTCCTCCTCCTCCTCCTCCTCCTCCTCCTCCTCCCCTCTCCTCCTCCTCCTCCTCCTCCTCCTCCTCCTCCTCCTCCTCCTCCTCCTCCTCCTCCTCCTCCTCGTTGAGCTCTGGGTCCGGAGATCGGGAGGCTTCCAGGTGCCCCTGCAGCGACGCAGGGGAGGGAGACCGCGCAGGGACGGGCCAGGCGGCGGACGGCACATCCTGGGCGAGAGCCAGGAGGGGTCGCGGGTCGGGGCTCCTGGTCCACTGGTGGCCCCTGGGGCTCCTCGAGGGGACGCCAGGCCGCATCCGCTGCCAGCGTGTGGCCCGTGGTTGCCGCCCGCCATCGCACCTCTCTCCGCGCGATCGGCCCAGGCGTTGGCCTCGGGGCTTCGCAGGGCGCCGGCTGCTTCGCCGTCGGCTGGGAGCAGGAGCGGCTACTCGCGCCGGTGGACGAGGCCTCCACGGCAGGGGGGGAGTCAGGAGCAGCGTCAGCGAGGGACAGGCTCAGGGCGTTGTCGTCGGTTCTCGGCGGCTTCCCAGCCTCGGGATGCCTTCGTGCGGCTGCGCTGCGCCGAGGGCGTTCTGGAGGGGGGCCGACTCGTCCCGAAGGGCTGCCAGAGGCCCGAGCCACGGCCCAGACACCACCAGGGGGTAGGCTCAGGGCGAGGCGCATCGACCCCCAATCGCCCATCCATCGCCACTAGGTGCCTGGTAGCCCACCCCGCCCAGGACTTTGCAGCGTCACTATCGGTAGCCTATCGCCGATCCATCGGCGATGCACCACCGCTCCCAGGTCGATGTCTCCCCCCTGAGGCGGTCACCCCCTGACGTGCTCGCTCCGTGCTTCGCGGCCCCGAGGCGGGTCTGGCTCTTGGGCGTCTCTGCTCTACAGGGCAACGTCGGGGGGAGACAGGCTCAGGGGGGGGAACGCATCGACCCCCAATCGCCCATTCATCGCCTACAGGGGCCTGGTACGGTCGGGCCGAGGTCTACGATCGAGGTCGGCTCAGGGAGGGCACCCGAATGTTCTTCGTGCTTGTTGGATGCTCCTGTGCACCCTGGGGTCTGCGCCCGAATCTCCTGTGTGATTGTGCATCTGCTACCTTTCCTGTCCAGTCATGTTGCCCACATACGTGCAGTGTCTTGCCTCTCTGCTGCTGTCTCGCTAGCTTCCCCACACGTTCCACACACCTGGCGCTACGGCGCCCGCCTGCGACGCCCTGGCCGGCGACGGCTGCAGGTCCGATGTCCGATGTCCAATGTGCACCTTGCGGCTTAGTGGGCCCTGGAAACGGCAGGGCCGTTTTTTCACCGTTTCCGAAAAAGTGTCCTTTGAAAATGGAAACGGTAAAAAAACGGCGACCGGAAACGGCAACAAAAACGGCTCCAGGATTGGAACCGGAGCGGGAACCCATAAGAGAACGGCGACGGAACAGGTAAAAAAACGGCGTCGGAACCGGCAAAAGAACGGCAAAGCGGAACCGGTACAAAAAGACGGCCTTGTCGTTCCTAGGGCCCGCCAAGCCCTGCGGGGGGGGGTAAAGCAGAGCTAGGATCGGGATAAATCGCTCCAGAGCGTTCCGGAGCGCTCTCAGAGCGTTCTGGAACGCTCTGGAGCGGCCGCGGCGCCCAACACATCCTCCAGACCCGCGAATTCTCGGAGATTTCGAGTTATCCCGAGCCGATTTTGTCCCGATCTTCGCGTCGTTTTAGGGGAGGCCCTCGAGTGCTCTCCCGCTCGGCCGGCGGAGCGCCTCTCGTGCTCCGGGAGGCTGCTCCTCCTCCCCGGGGGGCCGGCCGCAGCACCACGCCCCGCCCGGGGGCCGACCGCGCGGAGCCGGCAGCGGGGGGGGGGCCATCGCCGATCTTCAGCCTCGCGCAGAGGGGGGCGGGGGGAGGAGGGGGAGGAGGGGGAGGGAGGAGGAGGAGGAGGAGGAGGAGGAGGAGGAGGAGGAGGAGGAGGAGGAGGAGGAGGAGGAGGAGGAGCAGGAGGGGGAGGAGGAGGAGGAGCAGGAGCAGGGGGAACCTCGAGCTGGCACCGGCGATGGGTCCCCGATGGCGACTCTGCACGCTCCCCCTGGGGAGGGGGGAGGGCTTCTCAGGAGCACCCCTGCTTCTCAGAAGGCGCGGGCCCTATCTGTAGATGTGGGGCCGACGCCTTCCAAGAAGCAGCCTCCTTCCAAGAAGCCCTCCCTCCCTCCCTCCCCACCCTTTGTGCGCACCGCCAAGATCTATCGGCGATGCATCGACGATTCCAGGGCAGTGCTTCCCCCGCCCACCACCACCCAACCCGAGCCAGTCCCTCCCGAACGTTACGTCAGGCATGTCCCCCTTCTACAGGAGGAATGTTCAAAAGTAGTCAAAAAGTTGTTTGGGGACGATCGTTCTACCATTTGGGGGGTCTTTGTTGCATACGGTTTGACTCTCCTGTATTTTTCTTCCAGAATTCGCCTGTAGGAGGACATTCCCGACCTAATCCTAACGCTCCCCTCTTCCATTGGCGGGAGGCTGGCGCAAGGGGACGGGCGTGCGCCCGCAGCACGGGTGCTCCATCCTTCGCGGCGCCAGTGCGGGTCTGACTCCTGGGAGTCCTTGCTCTGCTCGCTCCAGCTCGCCGTCCTTCGAAGCTTCGAGCTAGCTCTTTTAAGTCGTTCGTCTCCACGCGTGCCAGAGCGGAAAGCGCTTGCACCGAAATCGAATGAAACGGGGAATCATGGTGATTTGCGTTGGCTTGTTCGATGCCGCGCCATACCCGAAAGGATAGTGCTGCTCAACGCCCCACCGACTCCCCAGCAATACATTAGGCGAACACCAGAGGTACCTAAAGGAATCGACAGACTCAGCGATTAGCGCTCCAGCATCGCGCGGTGAGTATTGGCTCCACTCCGTGACGACATCGAGCCCTTGCTGCGTCCCCGGCCTTCGAGGAGCGCTGCCCAAGTGCGGACAAGATGTGTTTCCGTATCCATTTCGTCTCGGCTTTTCGGACTCTCTTCCCTGGAAGCCCGAGACGCAGTGGATACGGACAAGTATCCGTTTTCAGAGAAGCCAGACTTGTACCCACATCTACTGCGTTCTGGGCTTCTGGTACCCCTTCCCCCCCAAAACAACAAAAAACGCCGCGGATGTGCGTGTATCGACCTTGCCCTCAAATCATCTGTACTCTGTCCCCTTGCCCAAACCAGCGAGTCTCGGCGCAGGCGGTCCGCAGACGGAGGATTTCGTCCAGGGCAACGATGGGGAGGGATAGGCTCCGTGGGGGACGCGTCGACCCCCGATCGCCCGTCTATCTTTAAGTCGGGCCTGTCCCTCTACAGGGGGGAATATTCCAAGATAGTAAAAAAAAATAGCATGGGGACGACTTGTTGAGTATGTTTGGACCATTGTTGCATATGTTTTGACTACTTGTAAATTTCCCTCGAAAAACCGCCTGTAGGGGTACGCGCCCGACCTAAATCTATCTCCGACAGCGGCCCGATAGCCCAACTCTGCCCAGGAGCGTGCGGGTTCGCTATCAGGGGCCTATCGCCGATCTACCGGCGACGTATCGCCTGTTCCAGGTCGACGTTTCCCCCTTGAGGCAGCGCCCCTCCCCACGTTCACCCTCACATCGGGCCCTTGCTGCGTCCCCAGCCTTCGAGGAGCGCTGCCCAAGCGAAGATGCAACTGCCCGA